GGCTGCACTCCCTCCCTCCCCCCCATTTCAATTTCAGTGTTTTACTTAAATACTTTTATTTTTCATGCTTGGTTAGGGTTTGTTTTTTTCAAAACTCTTTTGTTTGTTGTTTTTACAATCGCCATTGGGTTTTCCCGGGAATGCTGGCTCCAGATGCAGATGAGCAGGACTGGGATGGGGGACTGCAGGGATAGAGGGGGTGATCCCCACCGGGATGGGAGAAGCCTGCTCCAGCCCGATCTGGGCCACAGACAAACATCTCCTGGGAGTGCTGGGGACAGCGACACATGTCACCTGGTCCCCTTTCCCTTCATCCCTGAGGTGGTGAGGATGAACCAGTCCCCATCCTGCCCCCTGCCTTCCTCCCTGTGGTGATGAGGATGGAGTATCCCCCACCAGGCACCATCCCCCTGTGCTCTGGGCCACTGTGTCCCCACCGACACCAGAGACCTCAGGTCTGGGTTCCTTTGGTTGTCCCCACGGGGTGGAAGAGCGGGCTGAGAGGGTGCTGGGCTTACAGAGTGTCAGGACCCAGGTGGGGCTGGGCTGGGACTCCCACACTGTCACCACACCAGCACCCAGGACCCCCAACTTGTCACTGCATCCTCAACTCGGGAGGTAAATCCAGGACCCCCTGGCGGTGCCCTCCCCCATTGTCACCTCCTTGTGTCATCAAGCCCAGCAGGGCCCAAGCCAGCAAGGAGACTCCAGTTAAAAACAACAGAAAAAGACCAAAAAAACACCCATAAAATGACCTAAACAAGATGGAACGGAGCAGACTCAACAAACTCCATCGTCCCCTGCGGTGGCACCGGTGGCACCAGCACAGCAGCAGGAGCGGCCCCTTCCCAGGGCAGGAGGTAGCGGGTGGGGGGACGGCAGCAGAGCCCCGGAGGGCTCAGGGGGGATCTGGGTGGTCAGTGGGTGCCGAGGGAGATGGTGAGAACATTCTCCTCCTCCTGGATGGGCTCCAGCTCGGCGCTCTGCACCGCCTGCGTGATGAGAGTCAGCTCCTGGCACAGCGTCTCGAAGCGATAGCTCACACGGATGTCGGGGACGTTGGTCCGGCGGATGTCGTTCCCCTCCGGACCCTCCTTCAGGTAGTTGGGACCCAGCCAGTAGCTCTTCACCTGTGGGAGAGGGTCCTGAGTGCTACCAGTGCCCATGGAGGGAGAATGGGGAATGGGGAATGAGGGAACTGGGAACGGGCAACTGGGTGTGAATGGGGATTGGGAATGGGGGAATTTGGGATGGGAGCGGGCAAATGTGGGCATTGGGGATGGGAATGGGGGAATGGAGGTGCATGGGAATTGGGAAGAGGGTTGGACAAATGGGAGAATGGGGGAATTGGTAATAGGAATGGGGAAATGGAGGCAAATGAGAATTAGGAATAGGCAAACTGCAGAATTGGGAATGAGGGAATGGGCCTCACCTTGTGGGAGAAGCCGCTCATCAGGACGCTGTTCCGGGCCAGCTCACACATGTCACAGGAGCTGAGCTTCCACACCTGGGTGGCGATGCTGTATTCCTCCATCAGCGGCTCCTGG